CCCTTTTTAATAGACGTCTTTTTGGCTCGCTCTTTCTGTTTTTGCCTGCTGGCTCTGCCCTGCGCCGCATCCCTGCCGCCGCGCCCGCTCCCCGGCGTGGCGGGTTGATGGGCGCCGCGGCCCCGGGGCGGCCGAGGCTCCCCCGCGGCTCGGGCCGCGCTCCGCACCCGCGCACGGCGGCGCGGCGCCGGCAGCCCCCGCCCGCCTGCCCCCGCCACGGGCGCCGCGGGCTCTAGACGAGGATTTTTTCCGTTTTTCTTCGCTTTTTCGGGCAAAGCCGGAGCGAGCGACGACTCTCTCCCTTCCCTTCCCCCCCCACCTTCATTTTTTCCTCTTTTTTTCTTTTTGATCTTTTTAATTTTCTCCGCTTTGGTTTTTTTCTTCTCAATCCGGTTTTTCTGTAAATTCTCTCGCAGCGGGCGGAGGCGCGGCCGGCGCATCCCCCCGCGGGAGGCGGCGGGACCCGCGGCCCCAGCGCGGAGACTGGCGCATGCCACAGCCCGCCTCGGCTCCGCTGCCCCCCGCCGCTGCCCCCCGCCGCCGCCGCATCCCGCCTGCCGGCCCCTTCATGCTCGGCGGACGACATGCCCGTTTTGTAGCCGGGGGCCCCTCCTCTCGTCCCGCATGTTCAGGACCAAACGCTCGGTGCTCGTCCGGCGGCTCTGGCGGAGCCGCGCGCCCGGCGGCGAGGAGGAGGAGGAGGCGGCGGCGGGCGAGCCCGGCGCGGCGGCGGCGGTGGCCGAGCCCCGGGCGCACTTGGGCGGGGGGCGCGGGTGCTGCCCGGGCAAGGCGGGCCGCGGCGGGCGGGCGGCGGCGGGCGCGGAGGCGGAACTGAAGGCGCTGACCCACGCCGTGCTGAAGCGGCTGAAGGAGCGGCAGCTGGAGGGGCTGCTGCACGCCGTGGAGTCCCGCGGCGGGGCGCGGACCCCCTGCCTGCTGCTGCCCGCCAAGGCCGACTCGCGGCTGGGACAGCACTGGTACCCGCTGCCCGTGCTGCTCTGCAAGGTGTTCCGCTGGCCCGACCTCCGCCACTGCTCCGAAGTGAAGCGGTTATGTTGCTGTGAATCCTACGGCAAGGCTCACTCCGAGCTCGTCTGCTGCAACCCGCACCACCTCAGCCGGCTCTGCGAGCTAGGTACGGCGGCGGGGGATGGAGGGGGATATGGAGGGGCTGGAGGGGTTAGAGGTGCGCCGGGCTTGGAGGGATGTGGGAATACAGGCGAATGGCGGGCACACAAGGTTGCAGGGGATTCAGGGGTGCAGGGGCTGGAGGGCATGCGGGAGATGGAGGGGATGCAGCGGTGCGGGGGCTGAAGGTGTGCAGGGGATGGACGGGATACAGGGGTGTAGGGGATGGAGAGGATGCAGGGGGGGTGCAGGGGCTAGAAGGGGATTCCGGGGCTGGAGTTGTACAGGGAGATGCAGAGAATGCTTGTGTAGAGGGGATACAGGGATACGTGGATGCAGCCCCACTCACCTCCCGGCTCACAAAACTTTTTTTTTTCCTTTCTGGAGGAAAAAAAAAAACCCAAACCAAAAACCCAAACCAAAACAAAACCAACCCACAACAAACAACAAAACCCAGGACACGTACAAAAACTTTCCATTGCCGTGGTCTATATGTACTTCCTTTTGTATTTAGGGGAGGGGGCGACGCCCCCACCTCCGGGACCCCCTCCCCTCCCCGGGGCCCCGGCGCTGCCTCCCCGCCGTCCCCGCGCGGTGCCGGGGGATTAAGGGCCGGGCGGCCCCGGCGCTGCCGCGGCTCCGCCGAGCCAAGGAGGCCCCGATCAGACAGCCCGAGCGGCAGATAGCAGGGAGACTGGCGCCAGACGGCCCCTTTTGTTTATCTGACAGCTAAATATCAAGGCAATCACCGCCTCGCTGCCCTGCCTCCAACCCCCAGAGCTAAGACAAACAGTTTTGCTAAAAGAATGCCACTGTTATCATAAGTTCCTATCTTTTTTCTTTTTTTTTTTTTTTCTTTCTCATGGCTCTGCCTTTATTTTCTCTGTACTTCTCTAATTCCAGAGTCTCCCCCTCCACCCTACTCCAGATATCCAATGGATTTTCTCAAACCAACTGGTAAGTAGACTTTTTTCAATGCAAGTGTAAGAGATAAAAAATGGCAAAACAGCCCCTTTATCAGGCAAAACAGTCTCCTGTCTTTGTCATGCTTTTTGCTTTCGGGTTGCTTGTGTGCTTCTGTGCCTCCTGCTACACCTCTAAGAATTGACATATAATTTATCTGAGCCACCTTGTGCACAAAGTAGGATTTTAAAACTCTGGCAGGAAACTTCAGGAGGGATTGCAGTGCAGCTCAGGCCTGTGCTGCTTGAGTCAGCCAGGAAAACCATAGCTCCAGTTGGAAATGGAGGTGCTTCTGCACCCCTGGGTGAAATTTTAGGGACTTGGGTTGAGATCCAGCACAGCATCTCCCTCATGCCTGGGAATCCCAGTGAACCTTGACAGATGGACTGGTTGGTTAGAAATCTCTCTTAAGTTTTATAGGAGCTTAATCCTACCACATCAAGTTGCAAAAAAATGGGAAAAGAGTTTGAAAAGTTATTTTTTTAACCTTTTTAAAATTTAAATTTCTTAGCACCACTGTGCATGCCTGTTGCTTGTAATTGAATGTCAGGGTGCCAGGGGAGAAGCCCATTTGAGGCTGGCACCAGCTCTTTTGCGGTTGTCTGCATAAACTCTTGGTTGGCAGCGAGCTCGCCGGGTGTGAGATAAATGAGGCTGGGAGAAGGAGGAGGAGAGGTGGGGAGAGTCGGAAACGCGGGGAACTCGGGAGGAGCAGCTCCAGGCTTCCTGAGGATTAGTGGCTCTGGAGTGGGCTGGAGCACGGTGGTCTCTGTGGTCGCGGTCGTGGCAGACAGGGGAGGCATGGCACTGCAGGGTACCAAAGGTAGATATGCAGATATTCCTGAAGAGCAGTATCAGCTCGTTTGGTTGGGCGTTTTTTGGCCAAAAGAACGGTGTCTGTAAAATTACCTCTCTCCAGGGTGTCAGGACTAAAAGCAACCCCAGCCTCGAGGCTGCTCTGGTGCGCTGGTGGGGTCTCATCCTGCCAGCTGCTCCCTGGGAGGCTGGACTGTTGTTTTCCCCCTCTGCAAACTCTTTGGGAACACTAATAAGGCCTTTTTTTTTTTTTTTTTTTTTGCCTTTCGGAAATCAACAAAGCTGTTTAACAAACAATTGGGTTGCAAAGCATGAACTATCTTGCCTTGGTGTGAAAAAAACAGGAGATAAGGGCTCATGAATGAAAGAGGAACATCGGGAATAGGTTCAGAGTAGGTTCAGCATCCCGAGCATGGGCTGGGAGGCAGAAAGGTTGTTCTGGTGTAGACTCTGAGGGTCTGCTGGGTCATGAAGTTTTGTGGGTTTTGCATAATTTTGACTGCATCCCTGCAGTGCTCCCCTAAAAGTTCCTATTTTTGCCTTTATGGCTTTTTTCTGCACTCATTGATGATCCTGGCATGGGACGCGAAAGGGTTCAGAGCTGCGGGACAGAAGGGTTAAAGCCTGGTTTTGGTTTCCTGTAAAAATGTTAGGATAAAATCTATTAGCAGGATTTAAACATCCAATCTGCCTCTGCCAGGATCTCATTTTCAGTTAGCCGAATGATATATTTATTCATTAGCAAGTGTTGACATAAGGTAGCAAAATGTGTGTAAACAGAAAAGCCGCAGAACATGAATGTGCCATTTCGAAAGGAAAAGTTATTCCTATCGGCCAATAGGAAGTGATTAACGCTGCCCATCGGAAACACAGAAACAACTGGGTTACTCACCAAAAAGTCCTCCTTTTTTTTCCTTTTTGAAAGAAAAATCCACTTGGCAGCTGAGCTCTGACTAACGGGGCTGTGACAGGCACCAGCGGAGCCTGGAAGTCTGTGGTGGCAGGTGGGTTTTGCAAGCTCAGGGTTTCTCAGCATTTCCTCTGCAGGAGGACTGAGGGTTTCCCATCCCAGCCTCGGTGCCATCTCCTTTGTTGAGAACTGTGGGAAGGTGTGAAGATTTTTTTACCTGGCTGATGCCCATCAGCCATCTTCTCAGCTGGGACCTTGGGTGGGAACAGTCCCTGTGTTTAGGCTCTGCCAGTGGAGCTGGGAATGTGTGTCCAGCAGGGAACTTCTGCTTTTCCATCAAGCATGACAGTGGTGGTAAAAGTTTTTCAAGTGTTTAGTGCCATGTCTTGTAAGTGCTTCATATGGAGAGACAGGCAGATAATAAACCTGGACTGGTGTGGGCTCTGGAAGAGGTCACCAGATCAGAGAATTAAAAATCGGTTTATGTTGGAAGGGACCCTAAAGACTGTCTAGTCCAACCCTCCTGCAATGAGCAGAAATATCAACTAGACCAGCCCACTTTGAGTCCCATCCAGCCTGACCTTGAATGTTTCTGGGGTGGGGGATCTGCCATCTCTCTGGACAACCTGTGCCAGTGCCTCACCACTGCCATCGTTAACAATTTCTCCCTTCAATCTTGTTTAGATCTCTCTTCTCTTTTTGTTTAAAACCCTTAACCAGTGGGGATTAAATTGGTTTTTCTGGAAGTGATGGAAGCTGAGACAGGCTGCATTGCAGGCTGGAGGAAAGCAGGGATGGAAAAGGAGCTGAGAATCTGCTGCAGGCAGTGAAATGCCACAGCAGGCTGTGTTGGTAGGATAAATCTGGTATTTGTGTACTTGTTATAGAACAGAAAGATCTGCCCTTGATGGCTGAGTGACCCGAGGGAAGGCTGTGGGTCAGCCTGGCTTGGTCATTCATAGAATCCCACAATGGTTTGGGTTGGAACGACCTTAAAACTCATCTCGCTCCAACCTCCTGCCTTGGACAGGGCCGCCTTCCACTAGACTAGGCTGCCCCAAGCCACCTCCAGCCTAGTCTTGGTCACTTCCAGGGATGGGCAGGACTTTTATCAAGGAGAGGATTTCCCCTCTTCCTCACACGGGATGTTGGCAGGGATGGATGATAGAGGTGTGTGGAGCTGTGCTGAAAGTGAGGTGGATAGTAGCGCCCTCAAATAACTCAGGCAGATTTTTGCCTGAGCTTTAAGTGGGACAAGGGGCTGCCAGTGGCTCCATTGTGCTCCTGTGTGGCTGGACCTGGTGGTGCTGGTGTGTGTGAGAGTGCAGGAAGCTCACGGAGATGTCTCTGCGGGGCCGAATGCCCTCCTGTGGTGTCAGCTTCCAGGGGAGCTGGAGGTTTTGGCAGCTCCCAGGAGCTATTTGACACCTTGCAAGGTTGGGCTGGTGGCCACAAGGAATAACTGTGTGTCTCCGCAATGGTTTTGTGCTGTGGGAAGGCAGCGTGGGGAGGAGATTGATGTGAGCCAGGCTCGGACTAAGGTCTGATCCTGCGACCTCTCTGGTGCTGAAGGTAAAACGAGCCCCAGCGCCCTGGGCAGCTCTGTGGGCGGTAGGAAGAGTGCAACAATTAATCCAGCCACACACAGGGCAGAGACCCCCTGAGGGTTCTGCCTTTGGGCTCCTCCCAGGAGGCTGGTCTAGGGCTGAGCTGCACCAGCTCTGCATTTTGGAAAGAGAGTTCAGGGGGGGATCCGTGGGTGAGGGGAATTGTCTTTTGGGGTGGTGGGACATGGGAAGGGAGCTGAGGAAGAAGTGTGGGAGCACATCCCCCCCATTGCTAGGGTTATGTATTTGAAGTTTGGATAGGATTCTGTCCTGTCTGATGTGGTGACAGAGAACCTGGTCACGTAGGATCTCTACAGCAAGGCAACATGGAAAGGACCAAGTATGTCCCTTTTCCACAGAAGCTCCTCAGAGAGCTGTAGCTGCAGGCACAGGGAGCCCGTGTCAGGGCAGAGTGGTCCAGCCTGTGTTTAGAAAGCATCTGTACCTCAAGCAGTTGAAGCCATCCCAGGGCAATGACAGGAGAATCTCCTATCTGGACTAGAAAGGGTTAAAAAAAGTAAAACCCTTATTTCTTTAAAGCATAGAAAGCACGACAAGGCATTTAGAGAGCGTATCATATACAGTATTTCACAAGTAAGTCTATTTCCTGTCTCCCCTATTGTTTTCAGTTTGATTAAGTATATCCTGTTAAACTGTATATTCCTGTTAGGGCTTTTACTTTACTCTGATAAAATGAGGTTATGCAGACAGGAATTTCTTATTCACTGGTATTTCAGGGGTGGGATCTGGCAGAATTCCTTTATCAGTAAGGATAAAATCATCTCGGCTCTCCTGGTGATTGCCCTTGCTTTGGAGTACAGATGCAAGTGAAATGATGGCATAGAGAGCCCAAATTTGGTGAAACCCAAAGTCTCTGAGGACCAGAAGTTTGCATAAACTTCACAGGTCCTCTCAGGCTTGTTGTTGAGCTTATGGTCCCACATGGTAGTGGCCAGAAAGCTGGGGCTGGTGTGTAGGATACCAGGAGATCAGTGTTGGCTTCTGACCGTTGTCACCTGGAAGAGCAGGCTTAGGATAGAGAGGTCCAAACCTTGATCTGCAACACCTGCATGCATCGAGAGAAACCTCTAATGGAGCAGCCTGTCTTACCCTGCCCTTTGGTGGTGCACAGGGGAGTAGGTCCAGTTGCCCAGGAGGTGGCAATAAGGTCTGCCAGCAGCTGGTGGTGACAAAAATTGAGTGGGGCACCACAAACTCAGCCTGTTCACTGAAAAAAAGGACAGCAATGAGACGTTTCCCTTTCAGTTCCCATTTCGGTGAGTTGCAGGTTTTGGCTAAATTGGGTGCACAAAGCCACGATTTAAGCATTTTTGGAAGCTTGCTTACATCAGAACGGCGACAACCTTGATCTCCTTAGCCGGTGACTTGTCCATAGAGGTGGCAGCCAGCCTGTAATTTCTGCTGGTCTATAATCAGCGCTGGCTGGCGATGAAGCGCAGCCTTGACTGAGACAACGAGTTAGGGTGGATGCTTCTTGATGAACTACCGTCTCTGCACGGACAATTAGTAATCGCTTCCTGCTAAGCCCTTTGGAATGTGTGCTCTGCTTGGGGCGATGCTGGGAGCCTGCAAAGAACCACCTATATACTGACTTTTTTTTTCTTTTTTTTTTTTTTTTCCCCCTCCTCTGCTCCAGCAGATTGTCCAGACTCTGTGCCTTCCTCCACTGAAACAGGGGGAACTAATTGTCTAGCCCCTGGGGGGCTCTCAGGTAAGACATCTCTTGTTGCCCTTGATCTTGGCCGTGGGTCGGGTCGCGTTGGCAGAGGGTCCTGACAAAAGGCGAAGTGATGCTGGGGGAGTTTTGGGAATGCACATCACTGAGAAGGGCGTGCTCGGAGGGGGAGTTGGGTTTCGTTTCAGTAGCAGCCGTGTACCTCTTGTGCAGAGGATGTGTTGAAATCCCAGACAAGGGTCTCCATCCCTGAATGCTTGTATTTCCTTTGAATTCCAGCCTTATGTGCCATTCATTTTTGGGCTAAGGCAGGAAGAGGCAAAAGGACTGAGGCGGGGGAAGGCTAAGCAATGTTGGTCGAGTGTTCATTCAGGTGTGTGGGTTATGAGAGCAGGTGCAGTCGTATCCTTGACTTGGTGGTGGGAGCATCTCTTGTCTCTGGGACGAGAGCCCTGCTCAGATTTTGCTCCTGGTAAGGTCACCAGCATCCCTCATCTGATGCATAAGGCTCATGGTGCCTGGAGGGGAAAGGTGGCCTGTTTTTCTGCAGAGGATGTTGCAGAGAGAGTTGATGATGTTTTTCTATCCCTTCCTGATATATTCAATGATTTCCATTGTTTTCCTATTTGCCGTCTCCTTCAGCCTCCAGTTGCTGATACAGGATGGAGGCTTGTAAGGTAGTTTCTCCACCCCTCTTGGAGTTTGCATAGAGACATAGAGTGGCTTGGGTTGGAAAGGACCTTTGACGGTCATCTAGTCCAACTCCCAACCCCATTTCCAAGGTGTGATGTCTCCAGCACCTCATCTCCCACCCCAGACTGGCCACCTCAGTGTCTCTACCAGGATTAAAGTGTCTGAAACCATGTACCTGCAGGTACTGGCTGATGTTTGAAGGTGCTTGCCTTTGTGGGGATGTCTCCTTGATTTATGATTTATTCATCACCCTGAAACTGGAATTCAGAATTAGGTTGGCGGTGGCTGCACGCGCGCATCTGCCCCTGCCTCTCTCCAGGAATTGCGTTTGGTGTGGATGTGATGTCTTTAAGTGAGCCTTGTTTGTTTTTCTTTGGGTGTAATATATACCCTGTCTGTTATTTGAGAGGGGAGCATATTGTTTGTTCAAAGGCCCTAATGAGAATTAATCAAACGAAGGGGGAGAGGGAACAGGAAAACTTGTTGCTGTTTGGGATTTTTTTTTTTCTCAAGGCAGAAGGATTTGCGTTTTTTTTTTTTTTTAATTTTTACCATTGGAGCCTATAGCTTCAGGGAATAAAAAAAAAAGGGTCTGTAGAAAGAAAAAAGACAACAAGCAAAACAACACAATAAGGATGTTGTTAGATCTTTTTTTCTTTTTTTTTTTTTTTTCCTTTTTCCTCCTGAAATACACCCTTTGCAGAGGGGAGGAGAGAGTTCAGTTCCACAGGATACCACATGAAATAAGCAGAGGAAGTACTCGCTTTTAAAAGGGGGCTTTCTGTAAGGTTCAGCCTATTGATAACATCTCGTCTGGCAGCTCTGCTCCCGAAGGGAAGGCAGGAGGTGGGGGCTTGGGCTGCAGGAAATAACATGGCTCGTTCCTGGTGCCTCCCAAAGGGCTGCGGGAAGGGGACCCCTAGCTCCTTAATTGAGCTTCTTCCCCAAATGAAAGCACGTTTCCACCTGAAAGTACATTTTTAACTTACTTTATTCTATTGTTACTATTTCATTGGATTTTATTTATTTATTTTTTGTCTCCCTTATCAAAGGTTTTTCCCCTCCCCAAGCCTGGAAACAGAACCTTTTTACGATCATTAACCGCTCTTTTTTCCTCCCCAAATGTAATTGTAGCCATTTAGTTTAATGAGGAGCTGATAGGAGAGTTGACTCTTGAAGGGATATGGTTAGCTACCCAAGCCCTGAAACAAAGCCGAATGCCTCCACATGAAAGAGCATTTGTTTTGAATTTGCTCTGATTTACTGGCATCTCCCTTCCGCGTGCAGAAGTGCAGTGCTGAAAATTCCCAACTGGAGAGACCCAGTCAAGAAAGGAAAATAAACGCACTTTGGAGCAATCCCCCAAAGCTCACTTTCTCCTCCTTTTTTTTCCCTACCCCCTCCTGCACATTTTAGTTAGCAGAAGAGTGTGTTTGAAGAGGGCTTTAATGGGTTATTGGCTGGGTACATGGCCAGTGCTTTGGCTTGGTCTTATCTGTGTTTGGGCAGATAGGGATCGGTGATGCTAGGTGGAGAATCCAGCATCCCTCATTCCCTCCAGACCTGCATGGTGTTGGATTTGCAGCTCCTTGATGAGAGGATGGCTTAAGAAAAGGGGGGGAAAAACGTAATTATTTTGGTAATTTGGAAACTGGAGTGGGTGTGTGAGGGAAAAGACATCACAGGTGGTTGTTGTTGGTGGTGGGATCCTGCAGCACTGCAGCCTTTGGTCATTAGCGACGTGTGGTGGATGCTGGTGTAGCACCAGGGTCAGTAGACCTGCTTTGGTTTCTTGAAGAGCAGGATTTGGCAAGAAAGATCACTCTCAGCACTGAGAATTTGGGAACGGGGCCAGCCTGGGGTTCACGGCCAGTGCGGCAGGGGAATGCATGGAGAGGTTGAGAGGATGGTGGAGCATTGGAGGGGCTCAAAGTGAGCGTCCTTGCAGCTCTCCATGAGGAGCCTTTGATGAGGAGGAGTCTCGGATCAGCCACTGCTGGGCTCTGTCTCTTCCTGGGGCTGCAGGCAGTTGTGTTGATGGAAACCAGAGGCTCTGGAGGATGTGGGAGGGGGGAGCGGCGTGGCCGGGGGATGTACGGGGAGTGTTTCCCCCTTGCAATAACTACTCTGAGCTGCTCTTTCCCTCTCTCCCTCTTCTTTCTGTTCCCTTTCATCACCCAGTGCAGTCCTGGGTAGTTCTTCACACCATGCTGGTGTCCATCTCCTCACCTCTGCTCTGTCTTCCCCAGCCGTCCCATTCTCTGGCTGTTGTACCCCTTGCTTCCTCCAAGGCACTGGCTACTGCTTCTGTATTCTTGGCTTTATTTATTTTCTTATATCATCCTTATTTTTATCAGTGGTCAGCCTGTGGGTAGGTCAGGACTCCTTGCTCACGTTTTCTCCCAGTGCAGTGCTCAGGTATTACTAGCCAGATCCTTTCTGTCCTAAGTGTGGTTAAAGAGCAAAAATACCCCATTGGAGATAAAAATAATTCCCGTAAATAGGAGACAGAGGGTGGTTTTCCTGTATTTTGAGCTGACTTGTTCTCAGCAGATGTGTTTGGTTGTGACTTCTTTCAAACAAGCAAAGCTGTGCTTGGAGAGCCTGGAGGTGGCTGGCCTGTGGTTTGGTGGTATGAGATTGGTGGGAGCCAAATTCCCGTGTGGCCCATGGAGAAGCCCTGCTCCAAGGGTAGAAGTGAGCTAGCTGGTGGAGTTTGGTGGTGCTGGGTCTCCATGGAATGTGATCCAGCATCCCTGGGCGTCTCTGTCCTGACCTGTGTGTGGCATGGAGCTGGTGGCTCTCGGCTGGTGACAGGTTGTGGTGTCCACGGTGGGTGAGGAGGTGGCTCTCCAGCAGGACAGGTGAATAGTGCTGGATCCACTGGCAAAGCAAAGCTCTCAAGAAGTCCAGAGCTTGTCCTCAGAGAGGGAGAGCAAGTTGAGCTGGCTTGCATCCTCGCCACATCTACTGTTTTTTTATAGAGGTCGTTCCTAAAATACCAAACCTGAGAGGTTATCCAGATTTTGGCCCAATTCTGCTGATTTGCCCAAACTCTGGAAGCACCTCAGGGTCTCCAAGAGCCAGTGGATGTTGAGTGATGATGCTTGGTGGGTGCTGGATCAAGGTTCTGCAAGCCTCGAAGCTGGGAAACCAGCAAGGCTCTTCTGTAGCAGGCACAGACTCAGTTTCTCCCTCCCAAGTCCACACCAAAAACGCAGGGAAAAGACTTCCCCAGACTGGAAGAGCATTGGCATTGTTCCCTACTCTGACTCTCTGTGCTGTGGGACCTTGTCTGGTTTAAGGGACCTCTTGGCTGATTGACATTTCATTCCAAAATTGCGGGCAGGCCGGGAATGTTTCACTATGCCTCTGATCCCTGCTGGTATCTGCTCGGCGGGGAAGAAGCACCTTGTCCAAATCCGGAGATATTTGCCCCCCAAAGCGGCTTCCCGTGGCTCTCCCCTCGCCCATGTAAACAGGATCCTGTGCTGTTTCTCCGCCAGAGCCCTGCCTGTGTTTTCCCGTTCCCCCTACTTCCACCTCCCTCCCCTACGGAGTTTATAACCTCCTGTGAAATGCCTTTATTTACAAATTGGCATCCTATTATAATCTGAAATTGAGACATCTTCCTGTGGAACTAGGATTGTATATTTGTCCCAGGGATAAACAATTGCTTGGGAATTTTTTTTTCTTTAAGTCACTTATTTTTGGTTTATTTTTGAGCTTACGTCGTTTTAATATTTTTTAATTTGCTTTGAGCGTCGCAGGGCGTTGCACCCTTTCCTTCCCAGCCTCGCTGGGAGACATGACCCCCTGCTCCTTGCTTACCTAAAAACCACAGTCCCGTCCTGGAAAGGACAAGGTTATCAGGGGTTAATGCCAGGATGACAGCACTGGAGCCTCTGGAGCAGAGCAGGCTGCCTGCCAGACTAGGAGCCTCCCGGCTCGCCTCGCACATCATCTGACCGTGGCCGACTGGGAGGAGGGAGCTGGTGCTTGGCACCGACCCCGGGCTCTTGGCTTGGCCACCCGCTCCGGTTCCTTCAAGCCCCATGAGGGCTTTTTTTTTTTTTTTTTTTTTTTTTTCCCCCTCCTCTGCTCCAGC